AACCACAGTCTAAGACCACACATGGCAAAGCAGAGACAACATTGTAATTTAGGGAGTTTGACCCAAAGCATTGGCCCCTTTGATCTCACAGAATCACTTGATGTCTCATGGGATGCTGAAAGGAAGGCTTTTCTTAATAACACATATTCTTTTACTACTTTTGTTTTGATGCTGGGGTTTAAACTCACTGAGTGTTCAGTGAATGTTTGAAGAGAAGCCATAGCCAGTGGAAAAGGGTTGCCAGAATTTCAGAAACCCTTGTAAGGTCTATTCTGGACATAAAGGGCCACTTTTCTTGTGGACTATCTTCTTACTGTTGCCAAAATTAGTGTTTAAATTTTGATCAGTGTACCAAATACTGGGTTATAAGTGTGGCTTGAGGAACTCATAGTTTAGTGGTGGCAATAAACAATTAAATGAATTATTAAAAGCGATCTTAATCATAAGGAGATAAGTAGAGATCAATGGAATAAAACTGAGAATCCATAAATAATATAATAATTTTCTACAAAGATGTCAAAACCACTCACTGACTTAGGCACATTAAAAAGAATGACTTGGGATTGCTGTGGTTGTAAACTTCTGTTCCCTCTGAATTCCTGTTGAAATTTAGTCTCAAATGCTATACTTGTATTAAGAGGTGTGTCTCTAGGGAAGTAAGTCTTAAGTGTTTTTCCCTCATGAATGAGATTAGCACCTATCTACAAGGGCTCAAAAATGAAGAGCATATTCCCTTGATCTCTTTTGCCATGTAAGAACATAGTATTACTCCCCTTCGGAGATGTTAGCAGTGAGGTGGCATTTTGGAACAGAATAGACAGCATGGAATGATATTCCATATCATTAGTCATTGGCAAATGCCAATAAAACCCACCTGTTAGTATAGGCTCATCAACCAAAACTTTCAAAGCTTCCAGGTGACCACTCTTTCCTGAGAGGTACAGCCTGTCCTGACTACCCTCATCAACCATTCCCACAGCCCAAATGTGAGGTCCTTTATTGTCTAGGTCTGTAGTTTTAAATTTTGGTTTTGAACGTGGGAATACTGGGAAGGTGGCTCAATGGTAGAGTGCTTCCTTTGCATGCATGAGGCCCTGGGTTTGATTCCTCAGCACCACATAAGCAAAAAAAGTGGCTCACGAGGTAAAGTGCTAGCCTTGAGCTGAAGAGCTGAGGGATAGCGCCCAGGCCCAGAGTTCAGTCCCCGTGACCGACAAAAAGAAAAAACAGAAAAGAAATTTGAGTGGGAATACTGGAATACAGAGGCTGGAGGCAGGCAGTTCCTACCACAGAAGCACCTGTGACTAAGTGGAGAGATCTCAGGGCCCAGCACTCATCTTTGAAGCCTCTGGCACCTTTCCCCTTGGTTCCATTCCAATGCAGTCTCTAGTCTCACTCATTAGTCATTCAACCAGCGTTCCTCTTACTCCACATCTATACTAAGGATTAAACCCAGGGCCTCATACCATACTTTCAGCTCTTGTGGTTGGTTGGTTGGTTGGTTTGATGAGATAGAATCTCCCTAATTTTTGCCTAGGCTAACTCAAATCTGCTTTCTCCTTCATATACCTCCTGAGTAGTTAGGATTAGAGGCTCGCTCAGTACTTGCAGAGCAGCTATCATGTACAAGGCATCATAATAACAACCTTTGACCTCTAAGGTCAATTTATTTTCTTGGCTCCAGTCAATGGAATTAATTTGTTCATTGTTACACTCATCATTTATTAAACAGCATGGCTGTAGTGGCTAAAAATAGGGACTAAAAACACAAATGTTCAAGCCAGACTGCCTCATATCCCAGTTCCAACACTTTACTAATTTAATGAACCTGAGTAAAATGCTTGACCAATTTGTGACTCTGTTTCTCCTCCTATAAAACAGAGGTTGTAGTAATATAACACTGGTTTCACAGGACCGTAATCATGATTAAAACAATCTATACAAAGCAGAACTCAACTGACAGTGTATCTAAAAGCTAGCCATGATTATTACTGAGCATCTAGTAGGTGCCTGGTGTTCAGAGATGAATAATTCATGAGTTCTACCCTCAGAGTATTGGGAAAATGACAGGCCATCAAATATTATAACATCTTCTCATGAGCTATGGGATTCCAGAAGAATAAAGGTATCAGTTCTAAGCTGGGAAGTCAGAGAAGGCCTCCTTGAAGAGGTGGTAGTTGCACTGAACCTTGAAAAACAACTAAGAACTAGGGGTGGAGGATGTGTGTATTAGAATAGAATAGATGTGCTGGATGCTGGACATTTCAGGCAAAGGGAGAACTACAGGAAGGGCCTACAGTAGGAGCATATCGGCCTCAAGTGGTTCAGTAGGGAAAATGGATGTGAGTGATGGATTGATGAGAGGTGAGCCTGGGTGGATGGCACTATAACATCAGTATTATATCTGTTCACACACAACACCCCACATAGAGGTCTTATGATTATATCCATTTTTTGCATGAAAAAATAAGCAGGGCAGCAAGAAGTAAAGGATTCTCTCCAATTCATTCACAGCTAAATGGCAGAGCTGAGGGTAGGCATTGAAATCAGTTTAGCAGTTCAGGTGGGGAAAGGTGAGTTATCTGATGAAATGAGGAAGGGAGGGCCCGTGAGATTTGGACATGGGTCTAAAGTGCAGAGTTGGGAGTGGCAGCCTCACAGTGAGGGGTTTGGCTTGGATGCTTGGGTGCTGTTTGAAGGTAAATGATGTCCCACCAATATGTCACCCATATGAAGGCATTCAATAGGGGGGATCAGCAAGCACAGAAAAATGCTTGAGAAAAATGACATCCCAGCTCTACATGTTTGAAGCACTAACTTTTGGGCTGATTGTTATATTACCATCGGTGATGGGCACAGACAGCCATGTCGATGGATACTTGTGGTAAGGACTTGCAAGGCAGAGGCACGGCACTGCAGGGCCAGAAAGCAAAGTAGGAGTGACTTCAGTCCATGCACAGGAACAGCAAGTGTACTGGGGGACATGAGAGGGGAGTATTAAGGCAGAGAAGTTGGGGTATCAGATGGACATAATTGTAGTCCTTATTTAAGGATTTATACTTTGCTATGAGAAGCTTTGGGGAGGATCTAAGTAATGCTAACCTATTTGACATGTATTTTAACAGCTCATTCTGGTCAGGAGGGGGCTGGAACAAGAGTAGAGATAAGATAGCCATGCAAAAAGTAATTTCAGTTGTCAGGTGGTAGAGGTGTTGAGACATGCCACAGTGGGATGTATTTAGAAAGTACAGCCAAGGGGATTTGAGGGATTGAGGGACAAATACAAGGATTTGTCCAGAGCAAATGGAAGAATCAAATTGCCATTTGCTGACATAATAGGGAGCAGAGGAACAAATTACTATTTGCTGATATAATGAAGGCAAGGGGAAGAGTTCTCCTAGTCTTCTGCTCCTCTGCCATCCATCCACTGTAACAGATATGGCTTAAAGGCATGGGTGAGTATGAAGATTTAGTGATAGGAATGTGAGCAATGTGAATGAGGTTAGGAAATGGACTCCTGAAGCAAGCCCTCGATCACCTAGCTCTGAAGACCCCACTAGCCAATCAATGTTCAGCTGGATTACTACAATTTAAAATTCAAACAGCTCCAGGAGAACAGGATTGATGGGGCTTTGATATGCAGAACTCCATTCAAAGATTTGTACTTCATCAAGTGAAAACGAACCTGGTTTTCAGAGTTAGCTCTGTGTAATGAGAACAATGAGCTCCTGGGGCCAGTGTATGAAGTCTGATGTACAGGCATATCAGGGGGAACAGAGGGCAGGCTCACCCTCTCAAAGTAGTCCCATGTAAGACCACCTGACTCCAGGGAGGAGAGAAGAGCTGTGAGGCCCAGGCCCTGCCTGGCCAGGATCCCCTCCGCTATTAGAGCAGGAAGCATGCATTCAGATGACTGCCCGGGACCAGTTCAAAACAAAGCAATAAAACCATCTCACATTCCTGGGTGATCAGGAAAAAATGAAACAATGGTGGCCTGCAATGGTCCTGCTGGGTCAAACAGAGATGCTTTGTTTTGGCAGTACTGGGGTTTGAACTCGGCCTCATAACTTCCTGAGCCACTTATTTGGAGCTCTACCACATGGGCCACAGCTCTAGTCCGGGTTTTTTTTTTATTTAGTTGTAAAAGGAGTTGTCATTTAACAAAGGAGTTGATGAATAACATATATATATGTTTTTACTGATTATTTTGGAGATGGAATCTCACTATGTTGACTTCCAACCACAGTCCTCTGGGCCTCAGCATCTTGAGTAAGAAGCTAGGGTGTTGCAAGCATGAGCCACTGGCACTCAGCTAAAGATATATAATGTGATTTGTTGTGGGGTTTTGTGTGTGTGTGTGTGTGTGTGTGTGTGTACTGGAGTTTGAATTCAGGACCTCCTACTTGTTAAGACAGGCACTCCACTGCTGAGCCGAGCTTCCAATCCCCTCCCCAGTTTTGGCAGGCAGAGATGGAAGGTACATGGACATAATCCCCACAGGGCATGTATGGTCCCTGGTGGGGAGAGGAGGCTGGGAAAGGACTAGAAGCTGAAGGCCAAGTCAGTGTGAGCCTCTACACAAAGAGCAGACTTATGCAGGATTAACAATGAAGAGTCCACATACACATTTATTCTTTCATTCATTTAGCAAAAATACTTGGTGTACAAGCCTCCTGCAGGCGCTTCCCTTGGGGGTAGGCATGCCGGAGAGCAGGCAGGATCCCACCCTCCTGAGGCTGGCATCACCTCTGTGGGAAGCTCTGAGTAGGAGCATCTGTGCTCACTACTGAGTTTTCAGGAGCTTCTGCCAGTTACAGGGCAGCTGGGGCTGCAGCCTGACGCATATAGAGATCCAGGCCCTGAGCTAGGCATCACATCATAGGATGTTGTGGTTAGTAGGACCCACCACAGGGGGACTCCTGTTAGTCAAGCCAGGCCAGTCCAGCAGCAGACACAGCACAAGCATCTTTCCAGTGGGTGGGGTTGGGGAGACAGGAAAATGGGGGTTAGGGAGGGAGGAAGGATGGGGAAACAAGAAATAGTTCCCTGCCTGCCCCCAGCCCTTCAGCAAGCTTCTGTCATGCTCGGGTCAGGGGATTCGTGCCCAGAGTTCCTCTGCTCTTCGTGTCTGTAGTCGTCTTCCTCTTCTCTTTTTCTGGAAATCTCTCTCAGTTGCTCTGATGGCTGCTGGTAAGCGATCTGATTCCTGCAGACAGTTAGGACAAGGGAAAGGTTTGCCTTCAGTTGGTTGGGACCCCAAAAAGCTGGATCTAAAACAGCCACCAGACCTGCAGGCCTGCCCACCAGATATAACAGTTCCCTGGAAAATAGACACTGTGCTACCACAAACTTGCTCTACTGTGAGCCGCGGGTGCTGTGAGTTCCCACCCATATCTAGAACTAGCTTTGCCACAGGCCACTTCACACTGAGGCCAGAGGCTGGAAAACTATGGATGGCAGAGGCAAGTCCTGAGACTGCAGCTCATCCTTTTTGATTTGGGCACATTGCTTTGTTTTCAGCTACACAAGGGAAGTGGCAACAACAATAACTGTCCGCCAGGTGTTGTAAGTGGGTTTTTCCTTGAGAAGCTGGGGTGTTTATTTCCAGTCTGTTCAGCCCATCCAGCAGCCACATGCCTAGACACTAACCTCTTTGCATCCTTCGCCTCGGTCTTCCCATCCTTCTCCCGGAAGCAGCAGCAGTAAATGATGATGCCAATGATGATGAGGGCTGCAACCACCCCTCCTGCAATGCCCGCATACAGGGCCACATTCATGGAGGCTGCAAGAGAACAGAGCAGTTGTACCAGCCTAGCCTTCTACTCAGCCCTATGCACCAAAGGAGATGGATGAGGAGCCAGAACAGCTGTTGTAGGACACCAACTGGCTCCTCTAGTCTCTGCTGCCCTGTTCTTCTCCAGACCATGGAGCTGCCAGTGCTAGTTTCTGGTAACACTGAAGGAATTTAAGCAGACAGGACTGCAACAGTAAAGGACAGAGCGCAGATATGGATACACAGACCCAAGGGCTTTGCATCTTAATCTAGTCTCTGAAAAAGACCCCAGGCGGCCCTGCCAGCTCTTGCTGAGCTACAGCTGCTCCCTGCCGCTACACCTAGGGCTGGAGTCTACATTGCAGCAGCTGGCTCTGGACCCTCCCCTGCTCACAGAGTGCCCTCGGGCAGGGGGTGCTACAGAGGTCCCTGGATGTCTGTCCCCGGCTCTACTTCTAGAGCACTAGAGAAGCCTCACAGCAGGGGGGCCTGGGACCCGTGTCATGTTGCTTAGGTCACCACAGCTCTCGTGGGGGTGGCCTACAAAGGCTCTGTGTATACCTTTTGTTGACTGCAGAGCACAGCCCTGGCCCTCCCACCCCTCCCTCTTCACCCGGGTCTTACGCGGTCTGACGGCCACAGGGATCTCACAGGATTCCATCCCCACCTCATTGCTGGAGGTGCAGGTGTAGTAGCCCGACATGGCTGTGGTAAGGTTCTTCAGAAGGAGAGTCTGGCCTGAGACTGCAGGAAGAACAGCAGTGAGGTGTGGAGCAGTTAGCATAGGCCCTGGGGAGTGGAGACAGGCACCTCAGGGAATCGCCTCTCAGCCAGCCACTGGAGGCAGGAGAAGGCCCAGCATCAGAGAGCTTAAAATCCAACCAGGCACTGTCACATACACAGAGATTCCTACCTACCCTACTCACACAGAGCCCATCACACACACACACACAACCACACAGACACCACACACATAGCCATCACCACACATCACACACATATTCACAGATACCCTCACACACACACATCACATGCACACACAGACACTGCCACACACCACACGCAGATGCCATGACATACCACACACATTCACAGATGCTATCATACGCATAATACCACACACCGTACACACACACCATCACATGCACACACAGACACTACCACACACCACACGCAGATGCCATGACATACCACACACATTCACAGATGCTATCATACGCATAATACCACACACCATACACACACACCATCACATGCACACACAGACACTACCACACACCACACGCAGATGCCATGACATACCACACACATTCACAGATGCTATCATACGCATACTATCACACATCATACACCATCACATGCCACACACAGACACTATCACACACCACACACATTCGCAGGTATCATCACACACACTGCACACATTCATAGATTCCATCAAATACATACCACCATTCCACACATACAGACACAATGCACTCAGACACCATCACATACTATATACACATATACACAGATATATCATGCACACCATCATGTGACGTACACACAGATACTATCACACCTCTACACATACCACCCATATTACTATCACACAATCACACACCGCACACTTTCACAAGTGCCATCATACATATACTATCACCCACCACACATTCACAGATTTCACCACAAACACTTTTATAGACATCATCATACTCTACCATACCCCACTCCACACATGCAACACACATGCCTACCTACACACAGAGACACCATTACATACCATAGATATTGTCTCACACCACACTGTACACACAGTACACTCAATACTAACAGATACCATCATACAATGCCATACACATGCCACACATATACTTACCTCACACATACAAAGACACTATCATGAACCGCACATCAAACATTCCACATGCACATCTGATCCTGAACCCAGGGGCACGGGCTGGATATCCACAGTCCTATGAATTTTTTCACCTTGAAGGGAGAGCTTCTGCTTAGACATATATGCATGGCCTATCCTCAAAGATGCTTTGTCATAACTGCTGTTTTGAGAGAATTATGAACCAACTGCAGAGCAGCCTGGTGAGAAGCCTGCTGCTCCCAGCTGGTTCCTCACCATCATAGGAGAGGTTTAAAATTACAAACAGGATCTGTCACTGCCCTGCACACATCTCAGAAGCTGCCCCTAAACTTCAGTAAGAAGTCCAACCTTGCAATATGGCTACAGATCTGGCTCAGAAATCATGCCAGCTTCCTCTTGAGCCCCATGAGCAAAACCAGAGTCGGGGGTCTACCCCACCAGTCCCCGCCTCCATGCTCTGGGAAGACTGGATCTGTTCCTTGGGGGGACATGCACCTCAGAAAATGTCTTCAGGAGGCTCTCTTGTCTCCAATAGCCTTGTATGGAGGGTGAGACAAGAATTTCCTGCTCATAGAAGCGACTGGGGGTTTTCAAAAGCTAAGTGACTTGCTCAAGGCAACAAAAGTTTAGAAAGCTGGAACAAAACTCTTCTATAGGTCTAGAACTCTCTGGAAGAGTTGACAATACATTCTTTTAACATGACATACACTATTTCATTTCCAATACAGAAAACCTATAAACATCACAGTCATAAATAAGATGAAGAGGATCCCCCCCCTCCTCTTGGGGTTTCCTTTCTACAAAGGAAGACAGACACACAACAATGGTAGTTTTATGGGTGGTTCCAATTCCAAGTGGAGGTACTAGTTGAGCTTCTAGTGAAAAGATTTAATTTCATTGGACCAATCAGAGGAAGCCTTTCTAAAGGAAAGAGAATAAGTTGGGGGTGGTGGTGCATCCCTGTAATCTCAGCCATGTGTGTGGCATAAGTAGGAGGGTTGTAGTTCAAGGCTAGCCCCAGAAAGAACAAGACCCTGTCTGAAGAAAAACTAAAAAGTAAAAAGGGTTGGAGGCATGGTTCAAGTGATAGAGCTTCCTAGCAAACATGGTCCCTGAGTTCAAACTCCAGTACTCAGAAGAAGAAAAAGATGGGTGGGGGGCGGGGGTGAGAGAAACACTTCAACTGGGGTTATTTTCTTACTGTCTTTTTTACAAACACAATAGTGCCTTCAATCCCTTCCCTTAAAACCTTGGGCCCAACTAGCTTTGGAATTCCAGACCTCAAAGCGTTTCTGGAACATTGCTTACATATAGCATTAATATATGGTAGGGGAAAGGGTTTGTGATTAAAACCAAGTTCAGCAATTACTGAGGTAGGGTTAAGTACAGTTTTGCTTTATCTTTAAGGGCAAGGCTTTCTGTCATTTTAAAATACCCCAACAAGTACCAAAGAGTGGTTCATGGCATTAATGTTTCCATTTCCTAAACTAACTGATTTTGTTACATATAACAGTATCTGTTTAGGTCCACATGCTGAAAGCATGCTAAGGAATTGTAGAGATGGTGTGGGGTTTCCACTGTTTTAGAGGGTAAAGCTCACAGGATCTTCTAGCACACCGAGTTCCCTTCAACAGATAGTGGATGCTAGAAGCTTCTCTGGGATGCATTAGAGCCCATCCCAAGATACAGGACTGCCCTTGACTCTGGAAAAGGACTATGTTTTCTGAAAGCTAGTGAAAACTCTTTCCACTCCACTAGTGACACCTTGTGGTCAAGAAGAGAAATGCACAGCACAACCTCTGCCTCCCACACTTCTTGCTTTATGTGGAGTCCTCTCCAATAAGTCCCCAAATCACAAATCAAGCTTTTCTTCCCCTCTAATCCCACTGGTGTGTGTGTGTGTGTGTGTGTGTGTGTGTGTGTGTACACCATTGCTGGGGTTTGAGCTCAGGGCCTTGCATTCACTTGGCTTTTGCTGACCTCTGGGACTCTATCACTTGCTCCACTTCTATTTTTATTTTTTTAATTGGGAGGGGTGCACCATTCCTGGAGGTACCAAGCCAGTGTGAGAATCAGATGGAACAAGCTCCTATTACAACTCCTAGCTCAAAAAATCCATTTAATATATTGTCCTTGTACAGTTAGCAAGATCAATAACCCGTGGATTGGGAGAAGATCGTCACTAGCCATACAACCGACAAGGATCTCATATCTAAAAAGTACTTAGAACTCATAAAATTAAATCCCCCAACAACAAATCCTCAAAGAAACAACTGCCCAATAAATAAGTGGCCTAAAGATTTAAAGAGGAACTTCTCTGAAGAGGAAATAAGAATGGCCAATGACACATGAAGAAATGCTTAACTTCTCTACCCATAAAATAAATGCAAATAAAAACAACATTCCACCTCACCCCAGTTAGAATGGCTATAATCAAGAAATCTAATAACAGATGCTGGAGGGGATGTGGCCAAAAGGGATCCCTACTGCATTGTTAGTGGGAGTGTAAACTTGTTCAACCACTTTGGAAAACAATATGGAGGTTCTTCAAAAGACTCCACATAGAGCTCCCCTATGACCCAGCAATCCCACTTTGGGTCATTTACCCAAATGATCACAAACAAGACCATACTAAAGCTACCAGCACAACTATGTTTATCGCAGCATTATTTACCATAGCTAAGATATGGAACCAACCCAGATGCCCCCCCCCCCGTAGATGAATGGATCAAGAAAATGTGAGATATATATATATAGATATATAGATATAGATATAGATATATAATTCTATGCCTCCTTCAGAAAGAATAACGTTGCCCTATTTGTTAAGAAATGGAAAGACTTGGAAAGAATTATATTAAGTGAATTAAGCCAGGCCCAAAGAAACATAGATTCCATGGTTTCCTTTATTTGTAATAGCTAGTATACGTTTAGGACAAGCAGAAAAGGTCCAAAAGCTATGTACATACGACCATGTAAGATGATGCTAAGTGTGCTAAGTGAAATGAACCCCAAGAAAGGGAAACAAATGGTTTTTTTCTTGCTATTGTTTTTAATGTCTGTACAATGTACTAGGTGGCTTTTTTGTTGCTTTGGTATGTTCCTCCCCCATGGTGTAACCCCTGTTTTCACTGTATTTGATTTCGGTGCCCTGCATCTTGTATATATATATTTTTCTAATTTGGAGAGGGGAAGGGAAAAGAACAAAAGGTTTAAATAGGGATACAGGTTGACCCATTGTAATAATGAGATATACAAGACACTATGTTGAAAACGAACTTTACGACTTTGGCGCATGTGGGGGGGGGGCAGGGGACATTAATGCTCAATAGGAAATGTCCTCATCACCTTACTCATGTAACTGTAACTCCTTTGTACAGTATTTTTACAATAAAATATATTAAATATATATACATATATTGTCCTTGGATAGAGGACATATCAGACATTAAACTAATAAGAATAGATACTACACGTGATCTTAGCCAAAGGGCCAAGCACCACTTCTACCTTCTTGCTGGCTAATTGGGGACAAGAATCTAGCAGATTTGTCTCCTTAGCTGGCTTTAAATCTCAGTCCTCAGATTTCAGCTTCCTAAGTAGCTAGGATTGCAGGCAAGTGCTACAGGCACCTGGCCTCTCCTGGCTTTTTAATAAGTTTGTATTGCCATCTCACACCCAGGCACCAAGATCCTGCCTGAACCCTCCTCACCCTTCACAACCTCTGCTAAAGTGTCCTTGCCCCCACAATTACTCCTCCTACCTTCATTGATATCCTGATTCCTCTTCCTTGAGTGTTTGACCTCAGTTGGCTGGAACACAATTTGCAAAGTATGCTCAGAGCGTACATGCAATCTCCCCCATCTCCTCATGGGTTTGGAGGAGGTAGTGGCATTGGGATTATCTGGGGTTTTTTCCAGATGATGATATGAGTGACAAAGGGAAGAAGTCAGGACTCAAATCCTTGTTTCCTGATTCCAGAGTCCCTGTTCTTTTCACTGCTACTTTGTTTCCACTCATTGATAAGTCAAAGAAACCAATCTCAGCCAAGTGCCTAGTGGCTCACACCTGTAATAATACCTTCTCAGAAGGCTGAGAGCCAAAGGGCTGGGGGAATCTAAACTATCACAGGCAGAAAAATCTGCAAGAATCTATCTCCAATTAACCAGGAAAAAGTAGTGCTGGAGATGTGGCTCAAGTGGTAGAGCACCAGCCAAGCAAGCCAAGCAGGTCTGAGGCCCTGAGTTCAAGTCCTGGTACCAAAAAGAAAAGAAAAGAAAGAAATCAGTCTCTGATTTTGGAAGTTCTGTGTTCATATAGAGGAAGATGAATGAGGATGGAGGAAGATGGAGGAAGCCTACTCTCCAAAGTGGACTGAAATACTTAAAGTACCCACTACATGACCCAGACACGAAGTATGGGTGGGTACCACTCATCACCTTCTCTTCTGTCACCAGGTCTCAGTTCCGACTGAGAAAATCTGTATGTGAGTCTCGATAAAGATTTTGTTCATATTCCTTTTAATCTCTCATATTCTGATAGTAAATCTTGCCGGCCCACTTAGCTGGAGGAAGTGCCTAGATTAGTAAAGCACACCACCGGGTGTGCATGGGAGGGCGTTTCCAGGGAGGTTTAAGTTAATGAGGGAGCCCTGCCCTGAACGAGAGTGACACCATTCCACTTCCTTCTCCCGCTCCTCCCTCTCCCTTTCTAGCCTCCGGGATGTGTGCCATGACAGACAGGGTCCACTGCAACCATGAGTCCAGAGGAATCTTTTCTCCAAGTCTCCACAACAAGAAGCTGACCAGCACACACATCCTCCAGATCCTCCCCTTTTGGAAGTACTCAGTTTGTGCTCCTAACAGCTAGAGTGGTCTTTCCTGGGAGAGGCAGGAAAGCTATGTCCTGGATGCTCCATTTTGCCACTCCCAGAGACAGCCTGAGGTTTATAGAGCATAGGCCAACATCCCCAGCTGATGCACAGGCCCTTCGAGATCTTGTCTTACATCCTTTCCTAACAAGAGTCTATCCGTCATTCCTGCATATGTGCACCCTATCCTGTAGCCACCAACAGTTGTGAGTCTCATGCCATTCTCCAACCTAACCTCCACATCTTTAGAGATCCAACTCCAATAATAGCCGATAATCCCTAGGGTTGAGTATTTGCCACCAACCAGCCACAGTACTGAACACATACTTTGATTTAATCTTACAGAAACTAAGGCACAGAGAGGCTAAGTAACTTGTCAATGTCAACCAGCTAAAAAGTGGCAGAGCCAGTATTTAAGACCATGGTGTCAATGCTATACTACCCTCTCCTTGGAGAAAGCTTTTGTGATGCTCTTACCCATCCTCTTCCTTACCCCACCATGGTCTCTGTCACCTTAAAATCATCCACTCTGGGTCTGACTCTAGAAGAAAGACAAGACATGACCGGTATTTTGGGATCATCACTGGAATTATTACGCCCAGGTCATTCCCAGGCCAGCAGTTGAAGGTCAGGGTCCCCTAAACTGCCAGGTGGTTTCCACAAAACTCCAGCCACTCAGTAAAACTTAGCCAACCCGAAATATGTAAACAAAACCAGAAGCTTATTGAAGTTCCTATTACAGCTCTCATTTTATGCAAGGTAAAGTGAGTTCTACCTACTCTGTTTTTAAAGAAGGCCTTGTTTTGTCTCCAAATGAGGAGCAGATGCAGTGATTGAAACCACCATTTTTCACAGATGAACTTTGCTGCTCATCTGCTAACTTTCCCCCCACCCATGAGATCCTTTCCCCACCCCACACAGCTCCACTTAACTCCAGAGAAAGCCTATCCCAGGATTTCATTTTCACCTCCTTCCTACTTTTCCATTGAACTGAGAGACCTCCTGGTTAAATCCAACCATTCCTTCAGGCCTTGGTCTTTCCTGAACCTCAGGAGCCCCTGGTACAAGCAGCAGGGCATCTGGGGCAGAATCACAGGTAGCCAGGGATTCTACCCGGGAATCTGCACACCACCCAGCTCTGGCTAATAACAGTAGAATGTTTGTATGGCTCATTTGTTTCTTCCAGTTTGTTTCCTGATGGAAAGGTCAAATCCCTAGCTGCCCAGTCAGTACAAAAATGGGTCTCCTGGCAACTACAGCTGAATCTGCCACCTCCTTCCTGTGAATGGCGGTGTGATGGGGGAGGAATGTAAAAGGTGCTGGATTTACTGCACAGGGCCCCATGGACTCTGAGGTGGTCTGACGTGGTGCAGATGAACATTAAACTCAGAGCCTCAAATGTACACTTTAGGACATAATCATCAGCAAAGTTTAAATCCCCCTTAGTGATTTTACATAGTAATGGAGAATAGCACAAATAAAGCAGCACTCATCACATGTTTCTGCTAAGTGCTTTACATGAGCCAACTTGAGTTCTCACAAGTACCTGTTATGAGGTATTATAAGAAACTAGTGCTTAGAGGGATGGCCCAAGATAATATAAGTGTGGGTCAGGGGAAAAGAGGAAGTCTAATGGGTCAGCTCCTATCTCCTCTCGCAGCCCTAGCCAGTCAGTTGCATCTTCCTCATTGCCACACCCCACCCCCATCACCTGGTGGGACCAATGGTCGCTCCTGGTTCTGGGTGTCATAGCTCTTCCAGCTGTACTGAGGGGCTGGGGAGCCTTCTGCTGACTGACAAGTCAGCTCGATATTGTTCCCAATCACAGTTTCTCCCTTGATGTTGCAGTCTGGCGTGGAGGGTGGCACTGTGGAGAGGAGACACCAAAAACAAGGCACAAATTAAAAGGGGCTTGGAGAGAGTTACCCACCACCCCAAGGCATGTATGTGCATGTGCATGTATGCCTGTACACACCGTGTGTGCCCCCCACACAGAGTCTTGTTTATTCACAGGCAGAGAGACTCACAGCTTAGTGGTGAGATATAACACTATAAAACTGATTCACTCCAGAATATCTTAGTGGCTTGTGTCCCTCTCCAAGAGGCAGACATTCATCTGAGCAGCATCTGTGGCTTCATAGGTACAGTTTTGAGAGCTCTCTAGAGCAATGGGAATTTAAAGATATGCGACCATAGCCATGATAAAGAGGAGATAGTGGAGCCCAGAGCAGACACTTGTTCCTAAGTCCTAGCAGAAAGAAATAAGACTAGAACCCAGCTGTTCAGATTCCAGACCCAGCAACTCCAATCCATGTAAGCATTCCCTGCCTGCAACTCATCTGCACCATTTTAGGGAATCTCTGAGAAAGTAGGAGACAACATATGCATTCCATGAAGGGCCAGATGGCATTATTTTAGCCCCTGCTGCAGGCAGATGACTATCAGGATTTGATCACAGGTTACCTAATGATCGACAATCCTTCAACTGTAACTTCTTCTTTTTTCTATTTTGAAAGTCATTACCTGACTCATGTAACTGTAACTCCTCATATATCACCTCTACAATAACAACAAAATACTTTTTAAAAAATGCTCAGCTAGGCCTTTCAACTGTAACTTCTTAGGCATGTTCTCTATAGGTTTGGCACAATCCTCTCCCCATGTTTTGCTGACCAAATGCCGCTACCACCCCACCTAATCAGATGGATGATAGGAAGAACCCTTAAAAGCAGCAGAGAATAGCACTAGCTAGATAGGAATGCAGGGACTAGCTAGATAGGCAGAAGACACAGGGCTGAGGAAAGTGAGGCCACAGAAAGGAGGTGGCAAAACCCAGAAGTCCACTGTCAAAGTCCCAGTCCCCACTTGATTCCCCAGCCTTTCTGACACTCCTAGGCCAGGCTTCTCTCCTAGCTTCATTAACACATCATAGGTGGAAGAGGCCATTCTGCAGACCTTAACTTGGCACCCACTCTATGCCTGTCAGCCTGGACATTGAGGTGACATAGTAAGAGAGTCAAGAAACCCAGTGGAGGCAAAAGACAAGGGATCACACAAGGGAAAAGGCAGGCGGCAAGGCAGAGAGGCAGGTTTGAACACTGACCCAGTCACATCATGGGCTGTGACCTGCAAGAGGAGTAAAGAAGGCTGGTGGTAGAGGTGCTGGCAGGAAGTAGAGAAGAGATACCATTGCATTTCCAAAGGATAAGAGGCAAAAGCAGCATGAAGACTGATATTTGTATCTGAGCAAAGGAGAACCCATGTGGAGAGGGCTATTACGAAAGCCTTGGGTGGCAGGCCATCCCCTCAGCTTCTTCCTTCATGTTCTTCACGAGCTTGCTTGCTTGCGATAAACAATGCTGCCTCCTCTGTCGTCCAGGTGCACAGTCCCTGGGCATTAACAGTCAATCTAGTCTCAGCCCCCCTGAGGGTTGCTGGGGGATGCTGTCCAAGAACACACCTCTCCCTTTCACCCAGCAACCGCAGTCACTCTTCATGGCAACAGGCTGCTGTGATTGGGTGTGCCTGACATCTGCTTTCATTCTAAGAGCCAGCCAGGTGTGGGGTGAGCCAGACGGAACTAATTAGAAGCACTCCCTTATTGACACTCCCAGCCGTCAAAGCCAGGCTTCCTACGTTCTGGCTCAGGCTCGGGCTGAAGCAGTATCCCACGGCTTAAGACCTGGAGGGGCTTGTTCTCTGATTCTCAGGTGGCAGATCTTACCTCCCAAACAAAAACAGATGTCAGCTGACATCCAGGGAGGAGGGGAAAAAAAGAACCTGTTGGACTTCAGGGCCTCTTGGACGCCTGCAACTCCCACTATAAACGGCAGGGGGCGCCAGAGTCTGGCGAGCACACAGTCTTTCCTTTGAGAGTCCCAGGGTTTGGTGGCCTTAGCCATGACAGATGTTTAGACAGGTGGTGGTCCCCTGCGGCCAGAGCTGAGGGGCTTCCCGCCCATGACACCAGAGTGGGCTGCCAGATATAATTAAATCCCTTCTGCCTAAAAGAGTGTGGCTGAAAAGCCATTTGGAATGAACAGTTTTAGGAAAGAATGTAGTGGTTTTATTAACGTTTAGGGGAAAAGTGATCTCTTTAAAAACAAAACACCGGTTTAACAACTTCCATAATATCAAATTAGACTTGTGTTCTTCATTTCAGTTAGCTTCTTCCTCTTAAAATATAGCAGGCACTTGGGATATGTAGAGAGGCAGAATCAGACATCAGCATTTACACAGGTTCCTGCCAACCCATATAGCAGCAGTTTAAAGTATCCCAAGTATATATGTATATATACACATATCTATAGAGGGAAAGATATGTGGTAGTACTGCACACACACCACACACACGCACACACACACACACACACACACACACACACACACACACACACACACACACACAGAGCCCTCAATATGATGCCAGGAGTGATGCTGCACTTCTATAACCCCATCACTCAGGAGGCTGAGGCAGGAGGATCATGAATTCAAGGATAGCTTGGGCTGTTTAGTGGAATTTTGACTCAACAAACAATCTACCAGCAGGAAAACCTGGACAGGTCCTAGTACATCTATAAGATAGACTATGTATCTCTTCCCAGGTCATCTGAATGTAGATTAGTAGAAATGTGCCTGTGACATTTTTAAGCAAAAGTGAATTGTGAGTGATCTTATTTAATCCATTTTTGTTTGATGAATGAGAAAAATACATATAAGAGTTGGTTGCAAAATTAAAAAAAAATAAAAATAAAAAAAAGAGTTGGTTGCAACATGAAAGGGCATGGGGAAGATTCTGGAAGAACACCTACCTATCTTACTATTGGCTATATCATAGTGGCAGGGTAGAAGACCATCTTAATGATTTATACAGTACTAGTTTGCATTGCATTGACTCACTACAATGCTTCCAAAAAGTCCAGCCACTGTCTTTAAAAATAAAATTCTATCAAATAATATAAAGAGGAAAAAAGGAAAAAGAATCCATTGTTTTGGTTTAAAGAGCCACTGTCCACTGGCACTGGACATAGACAACCTTTCCAATGACTAGTTTTCAGGCAGTTGCTCCCTTTCTCTGGGCCTCATTTACCTAATGGTGTGTGTGTGTGTGTGTGTGTGTGTGTGTGTGTGTGCATGTGTGCGTGCATGCGTGTGCCTGTACTGGAGCTTGAACTCAAGGCCGGGGCACTATCCCTTAGCTTTCTCACTTAAGGCTAGTACTTTACCATTTGAGCCACAGTTCCAGATTTTGAGTGGGTAATTGGAGATAAGTCTCATAGACTTTCTTGCCCGGGCATGCTTGGAACTGTGATCCTCAGATCTCAGCCTCCTGAGTAGCTAGGGTTACAGGCGTGAACCTTCAGCTTAATGAGAATATTTTCCCTATTCTTCTAAAGCTAAAAATTCCAACAAGTCTTTTGTATGGGAAAAAAGTTATATTTCAAAGGTAATAGAATCTGATCAAGGTTGAAAGGGTGGGGAGATGGTGCCCTTGAATAGCTGAATTTACATTAAGATGACAACACGGAAAGAGGACAGTACCCCTAAGACAGCCATGATCTGAACCTCTGAGTACCAACAAAGCCACAGGAGAGTCTGCGATAGGATTTAGGAATTTTCTTTTTCTGCTCTGTGATGAGTTTGACCTGAAATGAGAAGAAATGATGAGGGAGAAGAAGAGCAGACGGAGCAAGGGACCACTGCCAATCTGCCTCGTCTGCCTTGGGGAACAAGCTACCATTGTAGGCCATCAGCTCCACAGGAAGCAGCAGTGGTCATCCTGAGATAGACTGGGCCACTGCTGCCATGGCTTCATGGCTGTATCTCACATCACACAGCTTCTGCTGCCTTTACCATCTTCCCACCCCGAGGAAAGAGATGGAGACACTCACCAAGGACCAGCAGGGAGACTCGTGCCCTGGAGATGCCATCCAGGTCTGACATCAGCGAGACAGAGCACTCATAAGTGCCATTGTCATCCATGGTCAGCTGGGCAATGGTGATAGATGCGTCCGACTGCTCTGCGTTGGCAGATATATTGACACGGTTCTCATAACGACTCCCGTAGACGTAGGATTTGGTAGAAAACTTCCAGATGACCACTCTTTCCTAATAGGAAGAAGAAAGGCCAGTTGTCTTCACCCTAAGGTGAGTCTAGTCTTGACTCTAGTCCCTGGAATTTATTTATTCATTGATCCACTCATCATCATTTATCAAACAGCATGACTTTCATGGCTAAAAATACAGGTGTGTAAGCCAGATTACCTCAATTGAAATCCCTGTTTCATTACTTGCTAGACTAATAAACTTAAGCAAAATGCTAGGCACCTCTGTGGCTCTATTTTCTCTTCTACAAAAGAGATAGTAATAATAACACCTATCTTTCAGGACTGTAGTGAGGATTAAAACACAGTCTGTGCAAAGCAGTTAAGGCTTGCCTGACAGGGTAAGTGTCTCCAAGAACTAGCCATAATTATTATTGAGCATCTAGTAGGTGCCTGGTGTTCAGGGATGAATAATTCATGAGTTCTGTCCTCAAAGGATTTTAAGAGTAGCAGGCCACCAAATATTACAACATTTTCCCATGGACTATGAGACTCCAGGAAAATAAAGGTTTCACTTCTAAGCTGAGAAATCAGAGAAGGCCTCCTTGAAGAGGTGGTAATTACACTGAAACTAAAAAAAGCAACTAAGAACTGGCCAGGCTAAGACTGGGGGTGGAGGGTGTGTGTACTGGAGTAGAATTAATGTGACAGACATTGGACATTTCAGGCAATGAGAGAACCACAGGAAGGACCTACAAGTAAAAGGAACATATCAGCCCCACGTGGTCCAGTAGGGGAAAAAGCGGGTGTGTGAGTGATGGATTGAAGAGAGGTGAGCCTGGGTGGCTGGCACTACAACATTAATACTATCTGTGTTCACACACAACACCCCACATAGAGGTCTTATGATTATATCCATTTTGCATGAAAAAATAAGCAGGGCAGCAAGAAATAAAGGATCCCTTCCAATTCATACACAACTAAATGGCAGAGCTGAGAGCCGCCTGGGCATTCTAGGTCCAGAACCTGAACTCTAGAGATGCTATAGTGCCCATCTCAGACGCCGTGTATGTAGAATTTAATAGTTTATGGTTTATCTTAGAGGAACTAGGGAGTAGTATCTGTAAAATATCTCTTCACATTGGGTACGAGTGGAGTGGAGAAAGGGGACTAGTCAAGAAATTAGTTTAGCAGTTCAGGTGTGGAAAGATGGGTTATCAGGTGGTGGCAATGGAGACAGAAAGGGTGAACAGAGTTCATGGAATGCAAGGAGGAAGAGCCCATGAGATTTAGAAATGGGTCCAATGTGCAGAGCTAGGAGTGGCAGTCCTCAGGGAGAGGTTTGGCTTGGATGTTTGGCTGCTGTCCCTTCCAAGAGAGGAAACACATAGGAGGAGAATCTTTGAAGGTAACCAATATCCCACCTCTATGTGAGTACCTCTAGCTCTGGAGAGTCATCCAAATGAAAAAGCACAGTAGGGGTTTTGCAAGTGCATCTGAGGCAAAGATTTGAGAGTCAATGACATGGAGACGTTCACTGAGACATGGGTAGATGGAGACCCTCAAGGTAAGTGTATAGAGACATGCAAACCCCCATGTAACTTTATCCAAAGGGCTAAGGGTTTCTCATAGAGCTCCAAGGGAAAGACAAGAGAGGAAGACTCCAAGAGCAGATAGTGGTTGCAGTGTGAGGTGCAGCATGGCAAGGGAGAAAGCAGAGAATGTGGCAGTGCAGGGTCAGGTCTGACGTGTGAGCATCTATGCCTAGGGGCAGCCACAGAAGAATCAGAGTGGAGGAACAGGGCTCCTGGGATGGAGGTAGGATGGGAATAAGACTTCTCACGCTAAACTTTGGACGGTGTTTTGATTTTTCAAGCCATGGGATTATGTTATCTATTGAAAAACAGAAAAGTAAAATTCTTCAAAACTCTCCAAATGGGGAGTGGGGGAACCACTCCCTAATATGAAATTTGGCATCAGAGTATATGCTAAACAAAACAAAACAAAAGAATGCAATGCAATCAAAGTCATTTGAAGCTAGTCAATGGAGGTACATCCATAGGAAGGGGAACTTTTTATTTTTATGCTATTCTTGGGGCTTGAACTCAGAGCCTGGGCATTGTTTTTCCCTAAGCTTTTGTGCACAAGACTAGTGCTCTACCGCTGGAACCACAGCTCCACTTCTAGCTTTTTGGAAAGACTTACAGACTTTCTTGCCTTAGCTGGGTTTGAACCTTGATCCTCAGCTCTCCGTCTCTGCAGTAGCTAGGATTACAAGTGTGAACCACTGGTGCCCAGTGGAAGGGGGATTTATTTTTCAAAGGAAAGATGATGAGATCTGGTTCCTCTAGTTACAACATTCACCACTCCCCCATCCACCCCAGCTGGGTGCTAGCTCACATTTACTCAAGGGCTCTGGTACTTGCTTTCTAAGGGAGCCCTGTCCTAATCAGGTGATAATTATTCTCAGAATACCTCCAACTTTTTAAGAAGCCTTACCGAATGACTCCTTAGAAGTTTATCCCATTGGATAAGTCCCTCCCGGTTGAGCACAGATGTGCTGTAGGTGCATGGAAGGGTGACACTCTTTCCCTGGGCAGCCCGAAGAGCGCCCTGTGGAGTTTCCACAGTGATGGCATAGACAGTCACCCAGACTAGAAGAGAAGTTTGAGGGGGAGAGAAAAATAAATGATGTGGACATAGCCACTGATTGTCCAGGGGACCTCTGTAAGGATGCCCTGGGTGCCTGCCCACCCCTCCCAGCTTTAGCTAGCGCTCCAGCAGTGACCAGGATCACGGCACGCTAGCTGTTCTCCACACCTGGGTGGAAGAGACAGACATGTGTGCCTTGACTCTGCGTGTATCCCAAAGAAGCATTTGGTGGCTAAAGCCTAGCTTTAAACCTCAGCTCTACCTCTTGGCAGCTGTGTAAATTTTCTAAGCCTAAACTTGCTGTGCAATAGGAGCCATAGTTCACAGAGTTGAAGGGGAAATGAAGAAAGACACTATGTGTCCATGTTTTTCTCAGTGCTCGGCATACAGAAGACTCTATAAACATTACCCAACATCTTTTTGCTACGATGATGCTTTATCCATTTACTTACACCTTTATAACAATAGTTTTTTTTTCTTTTGAGGCAGGGTCTCACTACATAACTCAGACCAGTCTTGAACTCCCTGGATAGCCTGAGGCTGGCCTTGAATTCAATATCCACCTGCCTCAGCCACCCAAGTCTGGGATTACTGGTTTGTGTCACCATACTTACCTGACAAATACGAATGGAGTGTTCACATGTGGTCAAGAGTTTTGTGACTAATATTAAAATCAAATCTGATAGAGCATTTCCAGGAGAATTCATTATTAAAACAACAAAATGAAAAAACTGTCCACATGACTAGTTCCCACCACACCTGCTTTCTTACCTAGTGACAATGACTCTCCTCCATTAGGAGGTGGCAATGTGTCCCTCCCTTTGAGTCTGGGTGGGCTGTCACTACAGTATCCCTCTGAAGCTCACTCTGCCGGTGTGTTTGACATGATCCTCTTGAGAGGCCCCCCTTGGAACCCAACTGTCATTCTGAGGAAGACCAGGTGTCTTCTCATGCCAGCTTCAACTACAAAGGCATGGCAGTGAGCAAACCCAGCTGACACCATGGAGTATGGGGCATGGGGCATGGGGCGCGGGGCATGGATCACAGCTATACTACTGCACAGCCCTACCCAACTTGAAAATTTATGAATAAGAGGAAGATTCTTATTGTTTTAAGCACTAGCTGTTGGGCTGATTTGTTATACTGCCACTAGGTGATGGGTACAGACAGACTTATGGTAAGGACTTGCGAGGCAGAGACACAGCAGTGCAGGGCCAGAGAGCAAGGCAGGAGTGACTTCAGTCCATGCACAGGAGCAGCAAGGAAACCAGTGAACTGGGGGACATGAGTGGGGAGTAACAAGGCAGAGAAGTAGGGGTATCAGATGGACATTATTGTAGTCCTTATTTAAGAATGTATACTTTGCTGTGGGAAACTGTTGGGCACATCTATGTAGAACTGACCCATTTGACATAGATTTTAGCAGTTCATTCTGGTTTATGTGAGGTGGCTAGTTGCCTGGTCGGGAGGGGGCTGGGAACAAGAGTAGAGACGGGATAGCCATGCAAAAAGTAATTTCAGTTGTCAGGTGGTAGAGGTGTTGAGACAGTCCACAGCAGAATGTAGTTAGAAAATAGAGCCAACAGGATTTGGTTGCGGGTTGGATCTGACATGGTATGAGAAAGGCAGAGCCAGGTGCAAACACAAAGGATCTGTTTCAGAACAAATGGAAGAACTGAATTGCCATTGGCTGACATGGTGAAGGCTGAGGGAGGAGCAGGTTTCAGGGTGAAGATGATCTGTGAAGTGTGAGATGCTTTGCAGAAATGCAAGTGAAGATCTTGAAGGGGAGGCTATGTACGTTTGGAGCTCCCTGAGATGTGAAGAAAGGACTTGCATCCTCAAGAGTCATCAGCTCTCCATCATTTAAGGCCAGAGCACACTGAGGGTCATCAAGGGGTGCAAGGAGATGGGGAAGCTGTCTGTAACTGAACCATGGGGGCTCCAGTGCTAGAGGTGGAGAACAAGAGGCAGAATCAGCAAAACAGGAGAACTGGCACCTCTGCTCTTTTATTTATGTTTATATTCATATACTTACTTTATGTGTCTATTTTTGTTTATTTATAGTTAGGTTATTCAGACCCCCACTTCTAATACCCAAGAACATGATGGGATAGAAGAACCCTAGTAACTGATAACATAGATGCAAATTCAGTTTTAAAAATCTTAAATCAGCTGGGCACAGATGGCCCATTCCCATAGTCCTAGATAAGAGTAAGATCGAGAGGATCAAGCTGAGCGGGAGCAGGGGCAGGAAAGTTAGCTAGATTCCATCTCTTTAAAAAACTAGCAAGAGGTGTGTGTCAAAAAAAAAAACTAGCAAGAAAGAAGGCTAAAGACATAGTGTAACTCGTAAAGCACCAGCTTAACAAGCACGAGGCCCTGGTTCAAACCCCAGTAACTTCAACAGCAAAGGAGCCCTGCAAACCACCACCCCCTAACTAAAATACAATATGGAGAGCACAAATGGTGTAATTCTTTAAAAAAAAAAAAACTAAGTCAGCCCCACAAACTAAGTACCAGGAAATGGGTATTTGCAGGGGGTAGGGTGGGGCCAAGGGGAGAGGAGTAGAAGAATGAAGGAGGGAAGGAAGGAAAATGCAGGCAATTGCTTATACCACAGAACTGAGAAATAAGGGAAGGGTGGGTGGAAGGGTGGTGATCAAGACGCATTTGTCATATAAACTACTTTGTTAAGTGGCAAAAAAAAAAATCAGAACATGACCTAAAATTAAAATAAGTAAGGGAAAGGGCGGGTTGGGAAGGTGGATGAGAATGTTGAACTAGATGATATTGATCAAGTTTCACTACCTTCATAAACTGCTTTGGTGAATGGCAACTCCTTTGTACAACTACCTAAAGAGAATAAAATTATTTTTAAGTAAATAAAGTTACTCTACAAGGTAAAAATGTATGCACATAGAAAGCTTTCCTATTTATAATAATGAAAAGGCCTCAGGATGGATGGATAATAGATAGATAGATAGATAGATAGATAGATAGATAGATAGATAGATAGATAGATAGATAGATAGATAGATAGATGGATGGATGGATGGATAATAGATTTGTCTACCTATCTATGTATCTATGTATCTCTCTCTATATACATATACATATATATGTGTTTATCTATAGCCAAGGTGTCCAGATCATACTCCTAATACCCAAGAACACTAAGGAAGAAAAGAACTCTAATAACAGCTAATACAAAGGGAAATTCATTAAAAGACATTTACAACCGATGGTCACTCATGGCTCATGACTACAATCAGTTCTAGAGGATCAAACTAAGAGGCCAGTTGTGGCAGAAGAGTTACTTAGATTCCATGTCTACAAGATCTAGCAGCAAAAGGCTAGCGTCATGAAAAAGTGGTAGAGTAACAGCCTACCAAGTGTGATACTGAGGGTTTAAACCCTGAAGAGGAGTGGAGGAATTAATCACTGCTTAGTAAATGATTGTTGCTGTTACACTTTTTTTCATATCAACCCATTTCTTCTTGCTCAACTGTAATCTGCTATTCAGGTGTACCCAGGGCTAAAAGTTAATCACAAGAGACAGCCACCTTTGCCATCACCATGGTTATGTGATCAAAGAGGAACAGTAATCGCTAATGATTGTAACTGAAGAATTCATCCGTTTTAGGGATCATTGTAACCATGAGTTAAAATCATTTCATATTAATAGATTCATGAGGGAAGAGATAGAAATGGACAAGACAAAGCTCAGAAAGAAAATAAAAGCCTGGTGTGGTGGCACACATCTGCAATCCCAGCCCTGAGGAGACAGACAGAAGGATGTGTGAGGTTGAAACCAGCCTGAGCTACATAGACTGTCTCTAAATGAAACTAACAAACAAAAACCCTTTGCACAAATTAGATCATAGAAGATTTCTCAGATGTGTAAACCTGAGAAGGATCTTAACGGATTCCCATGTCCTGATGCCTACTTACATTTTCCATAATCATAGATAAAAATGCATCCTACGTTTAAGAACTTTATGCCAAATGTCCATCTTGAGAAGCTGCTGTTATTAACCTAAATCCTTCCTGCTGATTCAGTCTCTTGTTCTGACATTGCAGGCAATGAAACATCTGGCTGGACTTGGTCATTTCAATAGTTTCTTTCTCTTCTTTCAATAGGTCTTGTTCTGATTAACTCTTCAGTCCCTCATTTCCATCCCCACTCAGTGGAACAGGCATATATGGGACATCTAAGCTGTGACCAGGAGGAGAAGTTCATTTCTAAATGCTTCCTACTCCCTCCTTCCTGACTCCTCATATATGTTAACATTGGATGCCATCTCTCTTCAATTTTCCAGACAGCCCACATAAATAGCTGTGGCTCTCCTCACCTACTGCAAGCCTCCTTTCTTCCTTCCTTCCTCTCCCTTCATGCTCCTTTCTTCTCAAGGTAAAGCTCTTCTGATACTCAAGAAGAACATCCATCTCATCAAGTAAGTTGCAGTCAGGGTTTGGATTTGAAATTCTGTTATGTTAAAGGCTTGGTCAGAAGTGAGACTTTGGAGACATAAGTGAGCCCTTAATACATTGATTTTTTAAAAATTTCTGATGGGTATTAAGAGGCTATGGAAACTCAGGAGGTGGGGCCTAGTTGAAGGGAGAAGACTCTTGAGGACATCTTCTAGTGGGGTTTTTATTTGTTTGTTTGTTTGTTTTTTGTCGGACGTGGGGTTTGAACTCTGGGCCTGAGTGCTGTTCCTCAGCTCTTCAGCTCAAGGCTAGCGCTCTACCACTTGAGCTACAGCACCACTTCCGGTTTTCTGGTGGTTTATTGGAGATAAGAGTTTTACGGACTTTCCTGCTCGGGCTGGCTTTGAACCATGATCCTCAGATCTCAGCCTCCTGAGTAGCTAGGATTACAGGCGTGAGCCACTGGTGCCCAGCTCTGGTGGGTTATACTTAGTCATTTTCCTTCCCTCCACAAAGAGATGGGTCACTTTGTTCCACCATCTGCCCTCCACTATGATATTCTACTCCA